GCAGTCAGTCAAAATTCACACTGACCCTATGATAGCAGTGCTGTCATTCTGGTTTCACACAGTGACAATCCCTGTGATATCTGCGCTGTAATTCTGATATACACACATTGACTGTCCCTGTGATATGGTGTTTAAAGATGAAGTTCTTCCTGTGACAGTGACTCGGGGTATGTAACCAGAGGTTGGTAGGCCAAATCGGTGACTGTGGACATGTCTATTTCATGTCTTTGCGCCGTGTAATTGACAAGCAAGGAAACTAAATTGAGTCTTGACCAATGATTTTGCTCGGGACCACTGACCCTTTGGAGAGCATGGATCGGGCAGTAAGATTTGACAGTGAAACTTGAGAAATGAAAACGAATGTAAAGTGAGTTACAGCAAACGAGATGGCCGCCTGTAAACCGAATTTATCCCTGACTGAAGATTTAACCTGCTCCATCTGCCGGTCTTCGCCTCAGCCGCATCTGCTCCCAGGATGAGGCATTCCACTCCCGGACATCCCAGATGTCCTCTTTTCTCAAGGATCGCAACTTCCCCCCCTCCCCCTCAGTGTCTCCCACATTTCCCGCAACTCATCCCTCACACCCTGTCCCCGCAATAACAACCAAAACAGAATCCCTCTCATCCTCACGTACCACCCCACCAACCTCCGGATCCAACGCAACATCCTCCGACACTTCCGCCATCTGCAATCCGACCCCACCACCAAAGACATTTTTCCCTCCCCACCCTTATCTGCTTTCCGGAGGGACCACTCTCTCTGGGACTCCCTTGTCCACTCCAAACTCCCCTGCAGCCCCACCACACCCAGCACTTTTCCCTGCAACCGCAGGAAGTGCTACACCTGCCCCTACACCTCCCCCCTCACCCCATCCCAGGCCCCAAGAAGACCTTCCACATCAAGCAGATGTTCACCTGCACATCTGCTAATGTGGTATACTGCATCCGCTGTTCCCGTTGTGGCCTCCTCTACATCAGGGAAACCAAGTGGAGGCTTGGGGACCACTTTGCAGAACACCTACGCTCGGTTCGCACTAAACAACTGCACCTCCCAGTTGCGAACCATTTCAACTCCCCCTCCCATTCCTCAGACGACATGTCCATCCAGGGCCTCCTGCAGTGCCATAACGATGCTACCTGAAGGTTGCACGAACAGCAACTCATATTCCGCTTGGGAACCCTGCAGCCCAATGGTATCAATGTGGACTTCACAAGCTTCAAAATCTCCCCTCCCCCTACCGCATCCCAAAACCAGCCCAGCTTGTCCCCGCCTCCCTAACCTGTCCTTCCTCCCACCTATCCCCCCCCCCCCCCCCCAACCCCACCCCCCCCCCCAGCCCCAACCCCCTAATCTCATCCCACCCCCTTGACCTATCCGTCCTCCCTGGACTGACCTATCTCCTCCCTATCTCCCCTCCTACACTCACCTTTACTGGCTCCATCCCTGCCTCTTTGACCTGTCTGTCTCCTCTCCACCTATCTTCTCCTCTATCCATCTTCTATCTGCCTCCCCCTCTCTCCCTATTTATTTCAGAACCCCCTTCCCCTCCTCCATTTCTGAAGAAGGGTCTAGGCCCGAAACGTCAGCCTTCTTGCTCCTCTGATGCTGCTTGGCCTGCTGTGTTCATCCAGTTCTACACCTTGTTATCTCAGATTCTCCAGCATCTGCAGTTCCTACTATCACAGGAAGGTGGGTTGTGGCTGCTGAAGGTCAGTCATTCCTCGGTAAAGAATATGAAATTTGCACAGTGATAACAGGAAGAGTGGGTGTGGAAGAGTCACAGGGGTGATGGGCTGATGGAAGCGGTATGGGTCACAGCAGCGGTATAGATGGGGCGCGAGGCCTTGGAGCGGCTGGGGGTCTATGGGAATGCATTGGACCTTCTATACTTACCTGTCATCAGGCATCCCCCATAAACCGACGTATCTCGCAAGATTCCCACATTCCTCCAAATCTCCATCGTGCCCAAGTATGTTATACAGGTTCACTTGAATTTCCCGCCTCCAGGCTTCATTTCACCCATTCCTAGCTCATTTCTGTATGGGCTGACAGGAGGAATTGTAAGTCTGCTTCAGGAACAAGCATACTGCAATGGGTCTTCTTGATTGATCTTGGCAGATTATTGTCCATTTGGGCCACCTAGGTTCAGTGGTTCAACCTGGAAGAGTCTCTTTCTCTCCACTGAGACATGGAAATATTGGTGTTGGGGTGGGGGGATTGGAATACAAATGAATGTTATTGAGAACAGAGCTGGACTGTGAATCAGTCACTGGTATGTCTGAGTTTTAAAGCTTTGTCAAATAATTTGAAAACCTATACAGGACCAGTCAGTGCTGCGTACCAGTTTAATGTTGAATATTACCAAATCATTTATTTGACAAACTAAACAATTAACCAATTCCAACAATAATGAAAGAGAAAGCAGTCAGTTTCTTAATCAATTGATCAATGTTTTAAAGATGCTGATTGATATCTCAGCAGCAATAAATTGGAAAACCCTCCTACAAGAGGGTTCATGATTCTCATTGAGAGCAGAGCCAGTGTGAAGTAATTTTTACACAGGGGTTAGTCACAACAAAAGTGGCCTGAGCTTACTCATTTGTTTCTGCTGATTTCAATCCAATTATTAAAACTCCAAGAAAGTAGCCACCAACAGGTCCAGGCAGTGGGCTGGAGAGGCGCTAGTGATGTCCAACTGCTCTGTCCCTCTTCTGGGGCTATGTTCATGCCCAGGTCTCTTTGAGTGGGACAACGCAGTGTCCACCTTAACTCCAGCTTAAGCCTTAATGTAATTAGAGTGAGGTGGGTGTTGCAGTGCATTATTTCCACCTCCAACTCTTTATTAATTCATTTCTTTGTTGTTGTTGTTGTTGCACTGCCTCTGGTGAGCGTCGTTTGATAATTGTTCTTATAATTACGGGTGATTTGATGCGATGGAATTCAAAGCTAAAACTACAGGAAAGTCATTTAACAGTTACCTTTTAACACAAAGGTTCCTCTTGGAAATAAACTTCAGCAAAAAACTGAAAAAATATCTATTAAGAGAATTTTACATCACAACTGAACAACACCCACAAGTGATGCAGGATTTAGAATTGCTCAAACACCACAAAAGAAAGATTCAGATTCCCAAAATCCATTCCCTTTTCTGAAAATGCAGACTCATTCCCAGGGTTAAATTCCTGACCCTCTTGGCTGAAAAAGCAGAGCTGGCAAAGCACTTTCCGCTTGATCCAACTGTTCCCACCTAACTCCTGGGTTTCCAGCCTAACACCCAGCCAGAGTTTCAATCAGGTTCCTAAAGGTACCGTGAAGCAGGGGATATAGACCAAACCCATGAGACACCACCAGACAAATGTATACACTGAAGGCTGGGGTCACGTTTTATTGCTTTTCATTTTATGTCCCCCCCAGTATCTGCTAATCCTTTCTCTCTTACTATGTGTGGGGAGAGCAGTGAGGAAAAGTTAATATTAACCTCAGAACATCTCTGAGCCACCAGTTTAGGAATCTACCATTTGAAATGACACAGTTTAAGAGGAGCATCATTTTTACCCTCTTCGAAAAATCCTGGACAGAAATAAGGAAAGAGTTTCTCAGTGAATGTGTCAGTGAACGTGTAGAGAACAGACATATCATCAGCATTGTAAAAGCTCACCTGTCCTCCTTCATAGTCCAGGTAAACTCCAATGGTCCCAGGCTTCACACTCGGAGTCAGGGTGACTAGTGAGCTTTCAGTGGCTTCGTACTCATCCCCATTTATTAGCCACACAGCCCAGTACCCACTTCTAGGTCCCAGTGTTATCTTTCCCTTCCTATTTGCAGACTCTCTTGTCACACCCACGTCCCACTCGGCCTTCTCCCCCACCTCCACCTCCCAGTAGTGTTCCCCTGTTGTGAATCCCTGTGACCCCAGAACACATGGAGCCCTGTCAAATCTCTCTGGATTGTCGGGAAGCTGTAATTCCGTGTCACTGTGTCTCACACTGGTCAGGTCCTCAGACAGGATGAGGTTACGATGTGCTGTGTTTGGGTCCAGGGTCAGTGAGGCTGGGGCTGCAAAAACAAAAAATACATCATATCAAATAATCTGCACAGAAGTAGATGGGAAAATACGGTTTAATTTACACTCCAATATGTACAGGGGCCAGATGTAATACAGACTGGGTACAGTGTATAGTTAGATATATTACCACACTCCAATATGAAGGTTTGAGTTATAAACGCTGGGATATTTTTCTCTGGAGCAGAGGAAGTTGAGAGGTGACCTTATAGAAGTTTATAAAGTAATCTGAAGTATAGACAGAGTTAACAGTAGTTGTCTTTTCCCCAGGATGGGGGATTTCAAAACCTGAGAGTACATTTTAAAGGTGAAAGGAGAGAGGTTTACAAAAGGGGCAAATTTTTTACACAGAGGGTGGTTCGCGTGTGGAATGAACTTCCTGAGGAAATTTTGGTTGCGGGTACAATTACAACATTTAGAAGACATTTGGATAAGTGCATGAGTAGGAAAGGTTTGGAGGGATATGGGTCAGGTGCAGGCAGGTGGGACTAGTTTAGTTTGGGATTGCGTTCAGCATAGACTGGTTGGATCAAAGGGTTTTTTTCCGTGCTATATGACTCTATGTTCAGTGGACAGATGTATTACAAACTAAGTCATGTAGTTAGGTACATTGCTGCTTTCCAATGTGTACAGATGCATTACAGACTGGGTATAATATATAGTTAGATGGCAGTGTTTATTGTCCAAATGACCATTAATATGGAGAGGCGATGGCCTAGAGGTATTATCACTGGACTGTTAATTTAGAGACCCAAATAATGTTCTGGGGACCACGGCAGATGATGGAAATTGAATTCAATAAATATCTGGAATTAAGAGTATATGATGACCATAAAAATCCATTGCCGATTGTTGGGAAAAACCCATCTGGTTCACTAATGTCCTTTAGGGAAGGAAACTTACCGAGTCTGGCCTAAATGTGACTCCAGACACACAGCAATATCATTGACTCTTAATTGCCCTGTGGGCGATTAGGGATGGGCAGTAAATGTCGGCCTAGCCAGCGACACCCTCATCCCATTAATGAATAAAAGAAAAGAAAAGCTTGTCTATATTTAATAATCCAAAATGGCACCTGATCTCTCCCAACGTTGTGTCTCACTTCTTACAAACAGTGGATGCTTTACCTTGACTTAAGCACATTACACCCTGTCGAAAATTGTCCCAGGATTCCAAAGTTGCACCTTAGGGCTCAAAAGCATTCCCCGGCTATTCCAATGTAAGGTATGCACCAGCCCTTACCTGGTCTGAAAAATGGCACAAATGTAAATGTCCAGCAGCCACTGTGAACACAGATGTGGATCTTGAACAGACTCCATTTCTGACCCCTGCAAATGTGATAAATGCCATGTTCTGGGAAAGGACTTTCGATTTCGGACCACTTCCAATTCTGTTGAAAGTCTAGGCGTAAAACTGAAATCAAATGCTGCTCTGGTCCCTAACACTGTTGTATCACTTCATCTCAGGTCCCACATAAAGTATGGCCCTTTGAGTGAGAGATCCCAGTGGATACTGCCAACAGTGACCTCTACCCAATAACAGAACAGCACTTTCAAAAGGCATGGATGGGTTTGGGAGCAGAGAAGAGTTAACTTTCCAGAGTGTGGACACAAAGCTGTGGGGTTTCCTACCTGGAGAGATGATCTGTTTCATCTGCTTCCACACTGTGTAGAGTAATGGGCCACGGAATCCTGTGTATTTCCTCCTCAAAAATGCATGGATCTCTTTTTCTTCTCCCGCTGAGCATTCACTTCCTTCTGCTTCATCATCTTCGGAATCCTGGCTTTTATTGTTATCTTCTTCATCTTCACTGCTCTCGGCATCTTCTCTGTCCTCCTCGTTGGCCGGGTACCTGTTCATAAAAACATAAGAACTAGGAGCAAGAGTAGGCCATCTGGCCCCTCGAGCCTGCCCCGCCATTTAATAAGATCATGGGTGATCTTTTTGAGACTCAGCTCCACTTACCCGCCCACTCACCATAACCCTTAATTCCTTTACTGTTCAAAAATTTATCTAGCCTTGCTTTAAAAACATTCAGCGAGGTAGCTTCAACCACTTCACTGGGCAGGGAATTTCACAGATTCACAACCCTTTGGGTGAAGAAGTTCCTCCTGACCTCAGTCCTACATCTGCTTCCCTTTATTTTGAGGCGATGCCCTCGAGTCCTAGTTTCACCTGCTAGCGGAAACAACCTCCCTGCCTCCACCTTATCTATTCCCTTCATAATCTTATATGTTTCTATAAGATCTCCCCTCATTCTTCTGAATTCCAATGAGTATAATCCCAGTCTACTCAGTCTTTCCTCATAATCCAACCCTCTCAACTCTGGAATCAACCGAGTGAATCTCCTCTGCACCCCCTCCAGTGCTAGTATATCCCTTCTCAAGTAAGGAGACCAAAACTGCACACAGTACTCCAGGTGTGGCCTCACCAGGACCCTATACAGCTGCAGCATAGCCTCCCTGTTTTTAAACTCCATCCCTCGAGCAATGGCAGACAAAATTCCATTTGCCTTTTTAATTACCTGCTGCAGCTACAATCCTACTTTTAGCGATTCATGCACAAGGACACCCAAGTCTCTCTGCACAGCAGCGTGCTGCAATTTTTTACCATTTAAAACATAGTCCATTTTGCTGTTATTTCTACCAAAATGGATGACCTCACACTTATCAACATTGTTCTCCATCTGCCAGACCTTTGCCTACTCACTTAGACTATCTATATCCCTCTGCAGACTTTCAGTGTCTTCTGCACACTTTGCTCTACCACTCACCTTAGTGTCATCTGCAAATTTTGACATACCACACTTAGTCCCCAACTCCAAATCATCTATGTAAATTGTAAACAATTGCGGTCCCAACACTGATCCCTGAGGCACACCACTAGCCACTGACCGCCAACCAGAAAAACACCCATTTACCCCTACTCTTTGCTTTCTACTGGTCTACCAATCCTCTATCCATGCCAATACATTACCTGTAATACCGTGCAACTTTATCTTATGTAGCAGCCTTTGGTGTGGCACTCAAATGCCTTCTGGAAATCCAGATACACCACATCCACAGGTTCCCCATTGTCGATCATTCAAGTAATGTCCTCAAAGAATTCCACCAAATTAGTTAAACATGACCTACCCTTCATGAACCCATGCTGGGTGTTCCCAATGGGACAATTTATATCCAGATGTCTTGCTATTTCTTCCTTAATGATAGATTCAAGCATTTTCCCCACTACCGAAGTTAAGCTAACTGGACTATAGTTACCTGCTTTTTGTCTACTTCCTTTTTTAAACATTGGCATCACATTGGCTGTTTTCCAATCTGTGGGAACCACCCCAGAGTCCAATGAATTTTGGTAAATAATTACTAGTGCATTTGCTATTTCCCCCATCACCTCTTTTAGTACCCTGGGATACATTTCATCAAGGCCAGGAGACTTGTCTACCTTTAGCCCCATTAGCTTGCCCAGCACCGCCTCCTTAGTGATGATGATACTTTCTAGGTCCTCACCTGCTATAACCTTTTTGCCATTAGTTTTCGGCATGTTATTTGTGTCTTCCATAGTGAAGACCGACACGAAATAACTGTTCAATGTCTCGGCTATTTCCTCATTCCCAGTTATTAAATTGGCCTTCTCATCCTCTAAAGGACCAATGTTTACCTTCGCCACTCTTTTACAATTTACATAATGTTCAAATGGGATTGAATTAATCACTCATTGTTGGATGCTGACAGCAAAACTCATACGTACATTTAGATTAGATACTCACCTTTCTCCCCATCTCTTCACTTGCTGCAGGATAAAGAATCAAAATCACGTTAATAGATATATGATGCTGTTTAGGTTGCACCTTATAAAAATGAATAAGCAGCGATTTCAGTAAAATGAGAGTGGACCTGCGAAATTGACATACTCCGGTAATACCACAACAGCTACCCCTGCACTAAACACATTTGATAGGGTTTGCTCTGCTACTTAAGATGTTGAAGATCCAAAGATCTATTCTCATGGCTGGTCACTATCAGACTGAATCCATAACATGTCACTCACTTAAGGAAACTGGGGAGAACGGGGACAAAAAACTAAAAGCAAGACAATCTTTAACCTAAATGAAGGAATACAGCAACCATTCATCTTCACCATGGACATTCAACCCCTTGACAATTCACTGTCCATCATGACTGTTTGAGGTCTCTCTACAGGCGCAAATTACTGCAGATGCCGGAATCTGTACTGAAAACAAAAAATGCTGGAAATCACAGCGGGTCGGGAAGCATTCCTGGTGGGAGAAAAAGCAATGTTTTGATTATAGACGACGCTTCATCTCCGAGCTAGCGAAGAGTCACCCTAGACTCGAAACGTTAGCTTGCTCTCTCTCTGGATGCTGCCTGACCTGCTGTGATTCCAACATTTTTTGTTTTCAGTGAGGTGTCCCTGTGTCTTCTTCCAACAGAGGTTAAACCAGTCCAAATCGAGCATCAGCCTCCTCCTCCTGACTGAGCTCGTTCCCACTCTGAACGACCCCACCTTCAACTCCACTCACTTCTTCTGCAGTGGAAGGTGTTGCTATGGGTACCTGCCTGGACCCTAGCAAAAACTAACATTTTGTGAGATACATTGAATATTCATTATTCAAGTCCTAAACTGCCCTCCCTCACTCATTCTAGACTTGATCAGAGCCTTTTGCAACTCTCTCCATAAGTCTCTTGACAATTTCCAGCACTGTTTCATCCTCACCTGAGTCCATCTCTGACTCTTCTGCTCCCTTCCTGAACTATTCTGTCCCCATTTCTGAGGGTAGGCTGTCTACTACTTCATTATAAGCCAATCAACTCCCTCAGCTATATCGGTAGCATGTTGTCACACCCCATTTCCTAGTTTTTTCCAAGTCTGTGGTTTCTGTCCTGACAGTGCAAGCTTCCAGAATATTGCTTCTGACAGGTAGAATCATAGAAACCCTAGAATGTGGAAATAGGCCATTTGGCCCATTTAGTCCAAAGTGACCCTCAAAACAGCATCCCATCCAGACGCACCATCCCTACCCCATCCTTGTAACCCTGCATTTCCCACTGATAACCTGTACATCCCTGGACACAATGGGCAATTTAACATGGCCAGTCCACCTAACCTTTTGACTGTGGGAGGAAACTGGAGCACCCAGAGGAAACCCACGCAGACATGGGGGCAGTGTGCAGTTTGCATACAGACAGTCACCCGAGGGTGGACTCAAAGCCGGGCCCCTGGTGCTGTGAGGCAGCAGTGCTAACCACTGAGCCACCGTGCCACCACAAGTCTTCCTGTTTTTCTCAACTGAGGTTTGCCCTCACTCTTCGCCATTGCAGATAATAGGGCGTATCATGTCTGATCTATTGTTCATATCTCCGCTCTCCCCTTTTCCTTTCCCTCCCAGCACCATGATAAATTTTCCCTTGTCGTCACTTCCCACCTCACCAGACTCTGTATTCAACGGATTGTCCTCTGCCATTTCTGCCATCTCCAGCATGGTGCTCCCAGCAAACACAGCTTCTCCTGCCCTCCCCTCCAAATGGACTGTTCCCTCTGAGACACCGTGGTCCACTCCTCAGTTGGCACCAACACCCCTTCCATCCCAAGTGGAACTTTTCCATGCAAACACAGGAGATGAAACGCTTACCTTTTGCATCTTCCCTTTACACCAAGTAATGCGTCAAACACTCCCCTCAAATCAAACAGCGATTGCTTTGTTCTTATTTTAATTTCAAACACATTGTTTGCGGTTCCGGTTGTTGTACTAGGGAGACCAAACATACACTGGATAACCGCTTTGCAGAACACACCCATTCAGACAACATGAGTGACCCTGAGCTTCCAGACACTAATTCTCCACCTTGCTGCGACACTAATATTTCTGAACTAGGCCTGCTATAATGCTGTAATGGGCTCAATGCTAGCTTGTGAGGCAGCATGTTATCTTTCAATTCTGCTCTCTTCAGCCTCTAGACTCAACACTGAGTTCACCAATTTTAGATCACATCATGAATTTTCGTTTACAATTACACCAGCAATCTAGGGTTTGGATTATACAAAAGGATCACCTTGAGAAAGGAGATATTATCCTGCAGTTTGATGTCTACACAAAGGTTCGATATCTTCTCCTCAAGTGACGTTAGTTCCTCTTCGATTCTTCTCAGGTGCCTCTCCATTGGTCGCAGATCTTCCTCCTTTTTTCTCCTCAGCTCCTCGATTAAATGTTTCTCTTTGTTTTCGAGATATTGATGGATTTTGAAAAATTGTGCAGAGATGTCTTTCTCCAGGGATCCAGTGAGTTCCTGCAAGAGTGACAGAGAGCATTTTCAACAGCAGGTAAAGAATCATGGGATATGAGGGGAAACTGAAGGAATACTCACACGCAGTTCGGAAATATCCCTCTGCAGTTGTTGCTTTAATTCACTTTTACTTTCCTTTTTATTCTCCATAGAATCCAAGGATGTTTTCAGCTGATCCTAAAAGTGGAATCAGATCTTATTAATGTAATGTCATTTTTTAGATTACAAATTATGAGGACTGAAGTTCAGGTGTTTAACCAGAGATGTTTTGTTTAACTGGGGTATCAAATAATCTGCATGGTTTTACTGCAATCCACCCAGATCAGCACTGCAAACAGAGATTAAAAACAGGATGTGCCAGAGGAATAAACAGGGTCACCATTTCGAGTTCTTTGACTCTTCTTCAGAATGTCTGCTACCAGACCTTGAGTTTCTCCAGGACTTTCTGTTCTCATTTCAGACGTCCAGCTTTTGCAGTATTTCGCTTCTACTTAGCTGCAAACAGGGATATTTAAAGAAGATTCTAACGCCTATCTCCAAATGAAAAATAGGGCCAAGAAATATACATGCAACTGCTACAGTGAACAAAAACAAAGCATCAGCAATTACTGTGGAAATTGACTTCTTCAGCTGAGAACAAATCTCCAGAAAATCAGCTGGTTTTACACCTTTTATATATGGAGTTTAGACATTTGATATGCTGTAAACTTTAGTTTCTTCTTTCTGCACATATGCATGTATATTTTTGCATTCATAGGGAGTTGGACATATTTGTACATGGTCATAGAGTCATACAGCATGGAAATAGACCCTTCGATCCAACCAGTCTATAACAATCATAATCCCAAACTAAACTAGTCCCATCTGTCTGATCCTGGTCGATATCCCTCCAAACTTTTGCTATTCATGTATTTATCCAAATATCTTTTAAACATTGTAATTGTACACACATCTACCACTTACTCAGGAAGTTCATTTCACACGTGAACCACCCTCTTGTGTAAAAAATCTGCCCCTCATGTCGTTTTTAAATCTCTCTCCTCTCATGTTAAAAACGTACTCCCTAATCTTGAAATCTCCCATTTTAGGAAAAAGACAACTACCATTAACTCTATCTCACTATTTTATAAACTTCTATAAGGTCACCTCTCAACCTCCCATACTCCAGTGAAATTTTAAGACATTTTTTAAATAATGGTCTCAATTTTAATCTGAATATGTTTTAGCAATAAAGTTAGTGCTTTCTCTTTTCAATCAAGGGATCTGGCTGGTTTATTTCTCTCACTAAGCTGAATACAGTTAAGTACATACTGAATTGGCAAGATTACTTTTCATTTTCAATTTTAAATGACTATTCTAACAAGACAGGAGTGGGAGATTGAGAGGGGTCAGTGCACCTCTGAAGAGAGATTGAATTTAGGAGAATGAGAGGAAGAACTAATTGAGATATATGAAGTGCTAAAGGGGATTGACAACATAGATGTAGACAGAATGGTTCCTCTTGTGGGGCAATCTAGAATGAGATGTCATATTTTAGGATAAGGGATAGCAGGTTTAAAAGAGAGATGAGGAGAAGTGACTTTTCTTAAAGTGACTTGGATCTATGGAATTCGTTACCCCAGAGTACAGTGGATGCTGGGACACTGAATAAATGTAAGGAGGAGGTAGACAGATTTTTAATTAGTAATGAATTGAAGTGTAACTAAAGCATTTGACAAGATCCCTTCTGGTAGGCTGGTCCAGAAGATCAAATCACATAGAATCCATGGTGAGTTGGCAAGTTGGATACAAAATTTTCTTGGCCATTGAAGACAGCGGGTAGTCATGGAGGGACATTCCTCTGATGGGAGGTATGTGACCAATGGGGTTCTTCAAGGATCAGTGCTCTGTTATTTGTAATATACATGACTTAGATGAAAATATAGGCAGACCGATGAGTAAGTTTGCAGATGACACAAAATTGGTGGAATTGTGGACAGTGAGGAAGGATATCAAAGGATGTAGCAAGCCATACATCAGCTGGAAATTTGGGTGAAGAAATGGCAGATGGAGTTTAATCCAGACAGGTGCGAGTTGATGCATTTTGGGAGGTCAAATTCAAGAGGAATGAATACTGTAAATGGGCTTAGAAGCATTGATATACCGAGGGATCTTGGTGTCTAAGTTCATAGCTCCCTGAAAGTGGCAATACAAGTGGATAAGGTGGTAAAGAAGGGATATGGCATGCTTGCCTTCATTGGTCAAGGCGAGTCATGGTGCAACTGTCTAAGACTTTGGTGAGGCCACATTTGGAGTACAGTATGTAGTTCTGCTCAGCGCACATTAGGAAGGATGTGAAGGCTTTGGAGAAGGTTCAGAAGCAGTTTACCAGGATGTTGGAGCTAATTACTGCAGATATTGGAATCTGTACTGAAAGCAAAAAATGCTGGAAATACGAGTCAGGCAGCATCCATGAAGGGTGAGCAAGCTAACATTTTGAGTCCAGATGACTCTTCATCAGAGCTGGATGTTGCCTGCATTGGAGTTTATTGGCTATAAGGAGTGATTGGACAAACTTGGGATTATTTTCGTTACAGCGTTGGCAGCTGAGGGGTGACCTCAAAGAAGTATATTAAATTATGAGGCATGGATAGGATGGATAGTCAGAGTCTCTTTCCTAGGGTGGAAATGTCAAATACAAGGGGGCATAGGTTTAAGGTGTGAGAAGGAAACTTTAAAAGAGATGTGTGAGGAGAGTTTTTAACACAGAGGAAATTGGTGCCTGGAACACGCTGCCAGGGAAGGTCGTAGAAGCAGATAAAATAGCAATGTTCAAGAGGCATTTAGACAGACACATGAATGAGCAAAGAATAGAGTGATATGGAGGCAGATGGGATTAGTTTAGACTAGCATCATGGTCGGCTCAGACACGGTGGACCAAAGGGCCTGTTCCTGTACTGTACTGTTCTGTATTCTATATATGCTTATTATTATGGGGACAGACAAGAAAATGAAGTTAAGAACAAGATGAGACCAGCCATGATTGTATTAAATGGTAGAGGAGGCTCGAGAGGCTGAATTGCCTATTCCTGCTCCTAGTTCTTATGTCTTCTCTGAACCCAGTCAAAACTATACCTTAATAGAAGTTATTATTTTAAAGCCTAAGCTTTTCGCATGAGGCCAAGTTTGCATCTGTTTTTTTGTTTGGCCAAAGCCTGACACTCTTTGCTGTGCACAGATTGTGTAGTCCCACTAAGTCAGCGAACCCAGCTTCACAGCATGCACCAAAAGCAGTCAAGCTGGTAGATTAGTGGAGTGCTTTTTCAGTAGATTCAAGCGGTTTGTGCTCAGAGTTTCTCTCAATATTTTCAGGAACAGCTGGAGGGTAGATTTCACAAGCTTTCAGGTCTTCTTTCAAATAGAACAAATGTTTGTAAAAAGGAGAGAGCGATCCACAGACAGAATTCTTGTCATTCCTCAGGCCAAAGGCAGAGGGCTTCCTTGGGGTACTGGATAGGTAGTCATATTTAAACTAATTCCATTTCATCATTCAAAGATAAAGAATATAATGCAACCAATTCACATGTAGTTACATAATGTGAAAATGTAATGGAAGTGTCTCTATAGTCATATATTGTCATTATTGCAACCATTACAGTGTGGTATTATTACTACAGTGTGGATGCAGGCCATTTCAGTCCACACGGGCCCTCCAAACAGCATCCCACCCAGAACCCTATTGCATTCCTGTAACCCTGCACTTCCCAAAGCTAAATCCACTGAGGCTGCACATCCTGGAATGCTACGGGCAATTTAGCATGGCCAATCCATCTAAACTGCACTTTTTTGGACTGTGGGAGGAAACCGGAGCACCGAAAGGAAACCTAGGCAGACACGGGGAGAATGTGCAAACTCCACATAGACAGTTGCCCAAGGCTGGAATTGAACCTGGGTTCCTGGTGCTGTGAGGCAGCAATGTTAAACACTGAGCCACTGTGCTGCCCCTAATAGCAATTAGAATGATAGTGTATATTTATTTCATGTAAACATGGGATAGATTCTGCCAAATATTTGATGTAAATATTGTAATCAAGTAAAAACCGAAAGAACAGGGGATTCTGTAAATCAGATACAAAAACAGAAATTGCTGGAATAGCACAGCAGGGTGGGATGTGGTATTATTGCTGAATTGTTAATCCAGAGACCCAGATAACGCTCTAGGGACCAGGGTTCAAATCCCGCCACGGCAGATGGTGGAATCTGAATTCAATAAATATCTGAAATTAAGAGGCTAATGATGACTGTGAATCCATTCTCCGTGAATCTATTGTTGGGGAAAAACCCACCTGGTTCACTAATGTTCTTTAGGAAAGGAAACTGCCATCCTTACCTGGTCTGGCCTACATGTGACTCAAGACCCACAGCAATGTGGTTGACTCTTAACTACCCTCTGGGCAATTAGGGATGGGCAATAAATGCTGCCCAGACAGCGATGCCCTCATCCTCTGAGTGAATAAAGGGAAAAAAAAGGTCTGGCAACATTGTGGAGACAAGTCAGATAATGTTTCGGGCCTAGTGACCCTTCCTCAGGGTAATGAAGTAGTTCTCTGTGCTTATAGATGAATATTCAGCTCAGTTGGTTGGACAGCTGGTTTGTGATTCAGAGTGACACCAACAACACAGGTTCAATTATTGTACTGGCTGAGGCCACCATGAAGGTCATGCCTTCTCAACCTCACCCCTTGCCCCAGGCATGATGACCCTTGGGTTAAATCTCTCTAGTGAGGTCATCGCTCTCTAATGAGACACCAGTCCTTCACTATTGTTGTCATCAAGCAGAGCTGCATTGTAATCAAACTGACTCCAATACAGCTAAATAGTATAATCCTGGACCCAGAAATCTGCACCTTGACAAAAGATCAAGCTGGCTTTGAACAGGAACACAGTTACCCTCAGGGAGAACAGGCATCTGGTTCCAGACCGTGACCAGACGCAGCAATCCAGACCTTCAATCCTTCTACCGCAGACTCGACAGAGATGACCCCCTGAACACAGTGTAATCAGTCAAATGGGAGAATGCCTCATCACCAAAATACACCACAACTGTATTGTTTGCATTGGGATTAAGGTACCTAGCAGTGCAAAGGTTCAAATGAGGAATGCCATATTTTTTACTGTATTTCCTGCAACGTCAGCAAGTCAACTGTTTTTCAATGTACTCACAGAGAAGTAATAAAGCGTATTTTTGCAACAACAATAAAGTCCCCTGACCTTGTACTTCCCCACTGCATCTGCCACAGGCAGGAAGCTGTGGCCTGAATGAGCGGGTGAATCTCGACAAATGACACAGATCAGAGCCTGGTCGTCCTCGCAGAACAGTTTCAGCTTCTCATCGTGTTCCATACAGTGCGAGGCCCCCTCCCCCTCTTCCTCTAGGCCCGGATTCAACTCCATCTTCCGAGCTTTCTCACAAAGATTGGCCAGCACCCTGTTACTGCTGTAACCTCTCCTGGGGAGAACCACTCGACATTCCGGGCAGGACACCGCTTTGCGCTGCTTCCCCCAGCACTTCTGGATGCAGGATTTGCAGAAGTTGTGCTCGCAATCCAGCCGCACCGGCTCCACAAACAGGGACAGACAAATGGAGCAGGTTAAATCCTCCATCAGGCTCAAGACGGGTTTGCTGAGGGCCATCTCTGTGGCTACACCTTGTTGCACACTTCACTTTCAGTCTCGTCTCCAGCTACAGGCTCACGGTCATCCGGAAGAAAAAGCCAATTTGGCTGTGGACCCTCACAACACCTTCCCGATACAGGAAGGGAGCTGACAGCGTGAAGCGCTAATGGGTGTTCATTTCCTCCTATATGGGAGTAACTATCAGGTCACAGTCCAACAGAAACACACCTCCCTCTATAGACCGAGATGAGCAATGTTTTCACACTGAAACACATGCAGGACCCCAGTGACAGGGATTGTATTCCCGAGGAAAGGATGCCGGCCGAATTGTTGATTTTATGAGGGACACCATTTAACAGAAAGAAGCCTCCCTCTTTAGAGATGAGAATTCCCTGCAAATACATAGAAACGCACGCACAAAGACGTTCATATCAGGATTAGATTTATTGTCATGTTAGTGTCTAGATCACAATTTCTCTCTCACACACAGGGGCCTTAATGTTTGGAATTGTATCCCCTAGAAAACCGTGCAGACTGATTTATTGTTTTATTCCAGTCTGATTGAGATAGGATGTTCACAAAGAAGGGAGTCAGGAATAATGCTGGAGAAGTGAGATGTCTAGATTACAGGCAAATCAACCAAAACTTGATTGATTGCAGGGGCAGGATTGAAGGGCCGAATGGAACATAGCTGCTCCTAATTAAATCTGATGCTCCTGTATAATCCACTGTTACAGACAACTCATATCCCTTAAAAAGGACACCTGCACAATACTGAGCTGCGCTAAAATTCTTTTAGGAAATGTATTGAAATACAAAAGTCAGATTAACGTCAGAACCAACCAATATCACAGGGACAGTCAGTGTGAATATCAGAATGACAGCACTGATATCACAGGGACAGTAATCATGTGAATATCAGAATGACAGCATTGATATCACAGGGAGACAATAAAAAGGTAAACAAAGGCCAGTTAGCTTTACATGTTCAGAAAATGTTAATCTATTACAAAGGTTGTAGTAGCAGAGCATTTAGAAATTCGTTATATAATAAAGCATTGTTAGCATGGCTTCTTGAATGGGATGTTATGGTTGACAAATTTATTACAGTTATAGAGTCATACAGCACAGAAATAGATCCTTCAGTCCACGCCAACCACAATCCCAACTAAACTTGTCCCAACTGCCTGTGCTTGGCCCATTTCCCTCCAAACATTTCTTATGCATGTACTTATCCATTTCTCTTTTAAATATAACTGTGCCCGCATCCATCACTTCCTCTGGAAGTTCATTCCACAGAGGAACCACTCTCTGTTTGAAAAGATTACCCCTCATGTCTTTTTAAAATCTTTCTCCTTTCACCTAAAAAAGTCCCTGGTGTTGATATTCCTCCCCCTAGGGAAAAGACACCTGGCATTCATCTTATCTATACCACTCATGATTTTATAAACTTCTATAAGGTCACCCCTCAAACTCATGCTCCAGTAGGAGAAAAAATCCTCAATATAACATCTCAACTCTTATATTCAATCTGAACAATGAAGGCAAGCATGCTAAATGCTTCTTAACCACTCCATCTATACGTGATGCAAATCTCAAAGAATAGTGTACCTGAACCCCTAGGTCTCTCTGTGCTACAACAATACCAAAGGCCCTACTTTTAATCGTATAATCCTGCCTTTGTTTGTTTTACCAAAATGTGTTCTATGTTCTATTACCAAGAAATCTTGAACGATTGGGTCAGTTGGCTGTAGAGTGGTAGATGGAGTTTAGTGTGAGTAAATGTGAGGTATTGCATTTTGGTAAAACAAACAAAGGCAGGATTATACAATTAAAAGTAGGGCCTTTGGTATTGTTGTAGCACAGAGAAACCTAGGGGTTCAGGTACATTATTCTTTGATAACCTTCTTCACTGTCTACTATATGACCAATTTTGGTTTCATCCATAAACATACTAGCCTTGTCTTCGACGCTCTCATCTACACCATTTATATGAATGGCAAACAAAAATGGACCCAGCGCTAATCCCTGTGGAACACTGCTGGTCACAGGCCTCCAGACCAATAAATAACTCTCCACCATCACTCTCTGTCTCCTGCAGTTTTTTATCCAATTGGCAAGCTTACCCTGAATCCCATGTGATCTATCTTTACTAATGAGTCTACCATGCGAAAACTTGTCAAAAGCTTTACTAAAATCCAAGTAAACAATGTTTACTCCTGTGCTCTCATCAATCTTTTTGGTTACTTCCTCAAAAATCTCAATCAAGGTTGTGAGACATAAATTCTCTCACACAAAGCCATGCTGACTATCCCTAGTCATTCCTTGTCTCTCCAAATATATATAAATCCCATCTTTCCAAATCACTTCCAACAACTTAGCCACTACTGAAATCAGACTCACAGGTCTATAGTCCCCAGGCTTCTCCTAACATCCCTTCTTATACAATACAACATTAGCCACTCTACAGTCTTTCAGCACCTGACCAGTATTTATAGATGATGCAAATATTTCTGCAAGGGGCACTGTAATTTCCTCCCTAACTTACCACAAATCCTGGGATTCACTAGATCAGCTTCCAGAGATTTATCCACCCTTATATTTTCTAAGACCTTCAGCACTTCCTCTTCGGTAATGTGAACTGTTTTCAAAACATCAACATTGATTTCCCTGAGTTCCCTAGTCTCCATTTCTTTCTCCACAGTAAAACTGATATGAAATATTCATTTACTATCTCTCCCATCTCCTGAGTGTCAACACAAGGGCAACTTCTTTGATCTTTAAGGGGCCCTACTCATTCTCTAGTTGCTCTCATGCTCTTAACGTATTTGTAAAATCTTTTTAGATTATCCTTAACCTTATTAGCCAATGCTATCTCATGTCCTCTCTTGCCTTCCTGATTTCCCTCTTAAGAATTCCCCTACGCCCTTCATACTGTTCAAGAGATTCATTTGAACCCGGTTGTCCATATCTAATTTATAATTTCTTTTATTCTTGACTCAAACCTCAATATCTTATTCATTTATTATTTTCTAATCCTACTAACATACTTTTCACTCTAACAGGAACACAATGACTCTGAACTCTCATTATCACACTTTGGAAAGCCTCCCCCTTATCAAGACATCCTTTTACCTGTGAACAGTCTACTCCAATCAATTTTTGAAAGCTCTTGTCTCATACTATTAAACTTTTTGAGGTGGTAACAAGCACAATTGATGATGGTGAACTACTGGATATAACATATTTCAATTTCCAAAGACATTCAATAAGGTGCCATACATAAGGCCATTTCATAAGATTAGAGCTCATGGAGTTGGTGATAGTATTTTAGCATGGATGGAGGATTGGCTAACTAATAGACAGAGAGTTGGATAAAGGTGGCATTTTCAGAATGGCAACCTACAACTAGTGGAATGCCACAGGAATCAGTGGCTGTGTCCACAATTACTTACAATATAGACTTGGATGAGGAAATTAAATGTACTGTTATCAAGATGACATAAAAATAAGTTGGAAGGCAGGTAGTGAGGATGACACAAGGAGTCTACAGCAGGATATAGACAGGAAGGAATATAATGTGGAAAATGGATGCCCTTTAGCAGAAAGAAGAGAAAAGCTGAATACAATTGGAGTGGCAAACAACTGCAGAACGCTAAAGCACGGAGGGATTTAGTGATATCAGTGCTGTAGTTCTAATATTCACACAGTGACTATCCCTGTGATATCAGTGCTATCATTCTGATATTCACATAGTGACTGTCCCTGTGATATCAGTGCTGTCATTCTGATATTCACACAGTGACTGTCCCTG